CCCCCCCCTCTTTCAATCTCTCACGTTCAAGGAGCAGAGAACTGGTTGCCTTCCCACTAGGCGGACCCCACATTCATTAATTTTGTTCTGTATTTGTTACGTCTCCTGGTATTTTAATGCACTTCGCTCTGCTACCCCGTGCATGCATAACGTTAACGCACGGGCCCCTACGTAGTAACGGCCCCTTTCGGGAGGGTCATTCATGGTGCCCTTCCCAGTTTCGGCTTGTCTCGGAGTTGACGCACAATTTCTCTGCCGATCGTACACAGGCCGTCGCTGGAGGTGAACCCCGAGTCGGGCATGAGCTCGACGCCGGGCTTGGTGGGCGCGGTGCAGCGCCTCATGGTGAACGGCCACGCGTTCGCGTCGCTGGGCGCGCTCGCCGCGCACCTGCCGCGCTACCGCGGCCCGCCCTGCGAGTCGGCCGGCAACGCCTCGCACGCCGCGCCCGCCTGCGCGCACGGCGGCCTGTGCCTGCCGCTGCTCAACACCTTCGCGTGCCGCTGCCAGCCCGGCTTCACCGGCACCCACTGCCATCAGCGTGAGTACACCAATGTACATTGTGTTTTTCCTGCGTGCTTTCTTTCTTTTCTTTTGTCCTTGGGGACTCCTTGCGATTATCGTTGTCGTGATGTGATGTTGGCCTCTATTTTGCAGGTGACACGTCCGTCAACGGAACCCTCTCGCTAACGGCGAGAGCCGTAAAATTCTCCGGAGACACTTTCTTGCACTTCCGCGGGCCCAAGCCCCAGTCCAGGTAGGATGGAATGTGGTGAGGGTGGTGCTTCCTCCGAGGGGGAAATCATTCGGGACCAGAGCGTACAGCTTCTTACGTGGTATTTCACGGCAATTTCGATTATTTCGCGTCATGTGCGACTATTTCGCTGCATACTTTGCGCCTATTTCGCAGCATTTCGCCGTTATTTCGCAATTATTTCGCGTGCAAGTGTACGAACTATTTCGCAAGTGACTTCCCCCCGGCTTGGTCATGCTTTGTCTCTTGACTAACAATTGGTGGTGAAGGTTTATGTCATCTCTGTACCTACTACTAACAGCATGCCTCTTTTCTCTTTTTCTTCTCCTTTCTGTCTGCCTTCGCTCGTCCCTATCGGGCCTGCACTGTAGCTCGAACCTCACCGCCGCCATGTCGGGATCCGTCTTCAACGGTTCGGCCGAGGTCGATGGGAGCAGCTACGAGGAGGCGGAGGAGGGGAGTGGTGGTGGCGGGGAAGGGGAGTGGGAGGACGCGGATGACAAGGAGGTGGACGACGACCATGTCGGGGACGAGGATGACGAGGAGGAGGTCGCCCCTCCCGACGACCCCGAATGGTGAGTTGCGGTGTGCGGGAGTCATCCCAATACAGAGTGGATACCAACAAGTGTACTTGAAGTCCGAGTCGTTGACGTTCGACTCGATTTGGGTGCGGATATAGCTCGCGCACGGTTCTTCCCCACGGTTCTTACCCACGTGCTCTCCGCAGGCGCCGAGCGGGTCGGCGGATATCCCGGTACACGGTCGTGTTCCGCACCGCGTCGCAGGGCGGCCTTCTGCTCTGGGCCGGCCGGGGACGCACGCTGCACGCCGACTACCTGGCCGTCGCCGTGGTGCAGGGGTACCCGCAGCTGTCCTTCAACCTCGGCAGCCAGCGGGGCATGCTCACCATCCAGTCCAAGGTGAGTGAGAGAGGGCCTTCTCCTCGAGGACGCGGACGCCCCGAGGCGCCGCCGCTGCGTAGAGCGCGACGGGCCGCCAGCTACACAACACACGCCTGGCTGGCGAGGGGTCCTTCACCCCAAAAAATCAGTGTACACCCAACAAATCATAAAAAATCATGAAAAAATCACTGAAAAAATCATGTAAAAATCACAAAAAAAATCATAAAAAATTAGCGAAGAGTCAGAAAAAAATCACAAAAAATCACAAAAAATCCAGAGAAAATCA